AAAAAAAAAAAAAAAAACTAAGGCAGAGACCATTCAGAACAGAACACTGGGAGGGATGCTAGGACCTTACCCAGGGAGGTTACATGTGCAAAGTTCTCCAGCATCACATCGCAGTACAGGAACCTCAGGGAGCTCCCACTCTTCTTGGGAGAAATAAATGGCCACATCCTCAAAGGTCATACCCTGTCATAGCAGGAATAGTTCAATCCACGATCATACTTGGAGTTCATTATCCTCTCGCCCCCAGTATCCATCCCCGGGTCACCCTATTGCCCACCTTAGAGGAGATAACGAGCCACAGTGCCACTGATGCCTACTCTTTCCCCACAGTTCCACTGATACCAAGTCCTTGAATAGCAACAATAGGCATGTGAACAGATAAATTCTACCTAAGCTCTTGGCCTGGCAGGTAGGGTATAGCTCTTGTTACTCATAAACACCAGTTAGCTAGAGAAGTGGCCTTACAGAGGGTGTCAGTAATCTGACATTTGTTTTGGCAGTCAATATCCCTGAAGTCGCCAAGATTCATCCTCCAAGACACAAGTAACATGGGCTCACCCTTTACCCCTATGACTCCAGTTCACCCACAAGGCCCTCTGTTTATTCTCTCTCTTCTCATGCACATCATTCTTTGAACCACACCTGTCTCACACAGCTGCATTTCCACAGCCACAACCTCAAAGGTCACACAACTTTTCCACTATGAGTTCATTCTATGATCAGTATCTTCCTAGAATCCCAAATGCATCCTCGCTGCATCTATCCCTGTTGATCTTCCTCTACATCTTCTCATATGAAACAATAAAACAGGGCCTGCTGACACTGATGGCCCCTCTCTCCTCATGGTCCCATTCGTCATTTTGTTCTTCCATACCAATAACAGGCAGTTGGTCAAATATCTAAGCTCTGAGCCTGCCATGCAAGGATCCACACCCTCTCTTGTATGGAAACTCTCCTGGAAGACTGCAGACCATGGCTCCCAAACACAACCAAAAGTCTAGGATCAAACTTCACCCTTGTATACTGAACACCAACGGGCCACCACTTCACATTCTTGTCTCCAGGTACACATCACTCTTCACCTCTCTCATAGTGTGGGAGTGACACACCGCCACAGCTTGCTCCCTGCCTTACACCATGAGCATCTGCTTGGTCTCCCCACTGGTTACTCAGCACATGGGACCCAGAGAGTGGTTGGCAAATTGAAACACAATTCAGTACTACCCCAGATCAGTCGGTTTCTCATGCTGCAGCCACCGGGAGCCCAAAAGACCTAAGCCAGATCACCTCTCTATTCCACTCCAAACCTCTTATTGTTACTATTAAGTAACGAATAGATACTCAGCTTCTCAGGGAACTATTCCAGGTCTGACTTCTACCCCTCTGTTCCCTGATCTCATGAGAAGAAAAGAGTTGTGGGTTCCTGAACCATCTCAGACTCCTCTTCAAATCTTTGCATATACTGATAACTATGGTTTGGACAACCTTCTACATCTCCAGCTGCCAACAACTTCGTAATATCTGACCTGGACTTAGGACTCTGGGCTTGTATCTGCTCAACCTACCAGGACCCAAGGCTACTAAAAGAGTGGTGGGAGAGCAGATCCAGAACACCACTTGTTCAGAAACTGTAATGCGTGAATTGAGGACCAGTCACACACACCACTCCCCAGTTAGGATCCATAAGCAATTCTACAGTTATGGGAATCTACAGAAACAGAAAAGCCACGAGAGTCAGGAACCACCACTAGGTTCCACAGGCTCAGTGGGAAAAGCCACTTTTGGAGCCAGGTGGCCTGGGCTGGCTGCACTATCTCTGCATCTGAGTCCTCAGTGCTGACTTTACCAGCTGTGTGAGCTTGGACGAGAACTCAATCTTCCTGTGTCTAACATCACCTCTCTTCAGCCTGTTCTTCCTCTGAGCAACGTTCGGAAAGCTTTAGGAAATCCTAGCCCAGTGTCCCTATCTGTTCACAAATCTTCAAGGCTGCCAGTTTCCTCAGAACGGCAGAATTCCTCAGGTGCAATTCTGCCTCACTCTATGTTCCTACAGACACGAGATGGGTCCCAGGCTCCTGAATCCCACCAGCTTAACTGCAACCCCAAGCTCTGCACGCGCCAGTGCCCTTGCCCGTCACGTTTCCCTACACACTGGGTGTCATAAACGGGCATCACCCACAAGCGCCTTCCTTTCACAGGCACTACGGCCTAGGCTGCAGGGCTTTGAGCAGACGACCCTCGTTGGGCCTTCGGGCTTGTGTTGGAAGAGGGCAGGCGAGACCCAAAACCGCAGTACTCACCCGAGCCGGGTCCCTCAGCGCGAATGCCGCCATTGAGCTCGGTGGACTGGGCGAGGAGCGGCGGGCGACCGGGGCGAGCATTCGAACACAGAGGTCCCTATCCCGGGCCTGGCACAGCTCACCCCGGGTGGCGTCGCCGAGCCTCAGACCCACTTTCGCGCCTTCTCTGTACCGCGTCTCAGCAGCGACCCCAGCTGCGGAGGTTCTACTGCGACAGGAGACAAGCTAAAATAACCGCCGCCAGGAGAACGCCGGAAGTCCCGCTCCGTCGTCCTGCGCATGCGCGGAAGTGCGCCTATCCTGGACTCTCATTGGCTCAACCTCGCCGCCATTTATCGATCTCCGCTCTGGGTAATGTAGTTTCCTAAACGCCACAAAGCTCTTCCTAGTGTATCCACTACTGTGACTTTTTTTAAAGATGTTTATTGTAACTTCTTTTATTTTCTCTTTTTTCCTTTTTTTTTTTTTTTTTTAAGACCAAGTTTCGCTCTTGTTACCCAGGCTGGAGCGCAATGGCGCGATCTCGGCTCACCGCAACCTCCGCCTCCTGGGTTCAGGCAATTCTCCTGCCTCAGCCTCCTAAGTAGCTGGAATTACAGGCACGCGCCACCACGCCCAGCTAGTTTTTTGTATTTTTAGTAGCGATGGGGTTTCACCATGTTGACCAGGATGGTCTTGATCTCTCGACCTCGTGATCCACCCGCCTCGGCCTCCCAAAGTGCTGGGATTACAGGCGTGACCCACCGCGCCCGGCCTATTTTTTTTTTTTTCTTTTAACTACACCTGAAGTTTATTGTAACTTCTAAGGGAGGAATTAATAAAATATTTTTTTGCTGGCAACTTTGATTATTTTATTTTTACAGATTTAAGAGTTACAAGCTCAGACTTTTTAAATTTATTTTTATTTTTATTTTTTTGAGACGGAGTTTCGCTCTTGTTACCCAGGCTGGAGTGCAATGGCTTGATCTCGGCTCACTGCAACCTCCGCCTCCTGGGTTCAGCCAATTCTCCTGCCTCAGCCTCCTGAGTAGCTGGGATTACAGGCACGCGCCACCACGCCCAGCTAATGTTTTGTATTTTTAGTAGAGACGAGGTTTCACCATGTTGACCAGGATGGTCTCGATCTCTTGACCTCGTGATCCATCTGCCTCAGCCTCCCAAAGTGCTGGGATTACAGGCTTCAGCCCCCGCGCCCGGCAAGTACGATGATCTTTTTGCTTCCCCCGGTACGGAGGCCTTGTCTTCTCTAGCTTAAGAGAGGAAACCAAGTACACAACACTCCGGGAACGAGGTCCGAAGCCCCACAGCACAGGAGCGCGAAGAAAGCGCCGTGTGGGAGTCCAGGCGTCTGCGCAGTGCGGGCCGACACTCGATCCCAGAAGGCAACGCGGCTGGATGGTGACGACTACAACTGCCAGAGGCCGTTAGAACGCCTGGCTCCGGAGGGACGTTTCGGGAGACCGCGGCTCTGGGTCACCGCGGTCCACTCGGACCTGCCGCCTCAGTTTACAGCCCAGCTTCCCTCGTCCGCCTGTCGGGGTACTCACATTCACCCACTTAGTCTCCACAATCCAGCTTATCAGGTGATCGCATATGCACCTGCGCAGAACTCGCCACCTACTTCAGCTACCAGAGAGCAATGCGCGCTGCGTAATGGACTACAAGTCCTAGAAGCCTTTGTTCCAACATTTTCATCCAGGGACTTTAACCCAAGAGCCTGCAGTGGGAGGCCTCGGGATGGCTGTAATCACTGAAGGAGTAGGGATATAATCATTGATGTGCGGCGTTGGGTGGAGGCCAGGGGATTATTGTTTATTTGCAGGACCCGTAAAACACTCAGCAAAGTCAGACGCCATGGCAGCTGGTGTGTCAGAGATACATTAAGATTAAAAAAAAAAAAAAAGCCGGGCGCGGTGGCTCAAGCCTGTAATCCCAGCACTTTGGGAGGCCGAGGCGGGTGGATCACGAGGTCGATTGATCGAGACCATCCTGGTCAACATGGTGAAACCCCGTCTCTACTAAAAATACAAAAAATTAGCTGGGCATGGTGGCTCGTGCCTGTAATCCCAGCTACTCAGGAGGCTGAGGCGGGAGAATTGCCTGAACCCAGGAGGCGGAGGTTGCGGTGAGCCGAGATCGCGCCATTGCACTCCAGCCTGGGTAACAAGAGCGAAACTCCGTCTCAAAAAAAAAAAAAAAAAAAAAAAAAAGAGAGAGATGGGGGGTCTTCCTTCCTTCCTTCATTTGGTTAGGCTGGTCTTGAACTCTGGACCTCAGGTGATCCACCCACCTTGGCCTCCCAAAGTGGTGGGATTACAGGAGTGAGCCACCGTGCCTGGCCATCTCTTATTTATTCACTTATTTTATTTTTATGTTTTCAGAGAGAGTTTCACTCTTGTTGCCCAGGCTGGAATGCAATGGTGCTATCTCGGCTCACTGCAATCTTTGCCTCCTGGTTCAAGGAATTCTCCTGCCTCACCCTGCCGAGTAGCTGGGATTACAAGGGTGTCGTGTGCCATCACGCCCTGATGAGTTTTGTATTTTTAGTGGAGACAGGGTTTCACCATGTTGGCCAGGCTGGTCTCAAATTACTGCCCTTAGGTGATCTGCCCGCCTTGGCCTCCCGAAGTGCTGGGATTACAGGCGTTAGCCAGTGTGGCTGGCCCCATCTCTTTTTTAAAAAAAGGATATCAACATTACGGCTTCATTAATTTATTCAACAGAAATTTATTGGTTATTGGAAGTGTTCCACTCTCCCAACTACTTGGAATACTTTAGTGAACTGATAATAAATTCCATACTCTGCTTAGCCTTACATTTTAACGAAGACAATAAACTGAAAGCATAATCAGGAAATCATATCTTATATTCGATGGAAATATATACACTTGCATATGTATTTATTTATACACATTACATCCAACCAGCAGCTTAGGAAGCTTTTGGTGTGGAGGGAACACTTGGCAGGATAATTTTTTTATGAGTCCTCATATGGCGGTGGTATGTGGATGACTGGCGGTAGCTCGTCTTACAAAAGGGACAGGTATAGGGCTTTTCTCCTGTGTGGATTCTCTCATGAGACTGCAAGTTGGTTTTGTGGCTGAAGGACTTCTCACACATGCTGCATGTGAAAGGCTTCTTTCCTGTGTGAATCATCTGATGCACGCGTAGGTCTGATGTCTGGAAGAAGCCTTTTTGACACTTAGGACAAACAAATGGTCTCTCATTCCTGTGTCTTCTCTGGTGAACTATTAAGTGAGACAGATACCTAAAGACCTTGGGGCATTCCTCACATTTGTATGGTTTTCGAACTCCATGGGCTCCTTCCTGATGTACCTCACGTGTGTAGTTTTCCTCATTGCTTTGGTGGGTAGGGGCATACTCAGGAGAGGACTGCTCTGGCTGTGAGATAAACCCTGGTCCCATCTCCATAGGGACACCTTGAAAAGAGATTCCGTTTATGGACCCTTTCTGGGATCTAGCAGTGCCTAGCTCTCTTCCTCTTGAGTTCTTTGGGTTCTCACAAGAAACACCTCCCTCTTCAGGCCTAGGACCATTCTCTTCCTGGATAATGATTAGGGAAGCTATTTGATTGCCGCGATTAGTAATATTTTTGTTTACTTGAGTAGTTTTCAAAGAACTGTTGCTGCGATCTTGTTCATCTTCATGTTCTGTGAAAATAGACACTCGCTGAAGTTGTACTCAAGAAGGAATCTGCATAGAACATCCCTCAGTTGTGCAGATTCACCGGACTTACCTTGTCCTGTTTCCAAGGAAGTATCTTGGGAAGTCTGGAAGGGTGTCCCCATGTTTGCTCCTCTTGGCGTTTCGGCAGACATTTGTTTTGTGAGGTGAACAATGACATCTTTTAAGGGCATATTCTCAGAAAACAGAGCTTCCTGTCCCTGCATGTGGACATGCACCTGTAAAAACAAAACAAAACAAAACAAAAAAAACAGGTCACTGTTGTATCTGAATCTGTTGTGTAACAGAAGATTTTTTTGAAAACTGACCCTCAACAGGCTCTCACAAGCTCATTCAAGTAAGAGCTACCACATAGTTTTGTCCTGTCCTTATCTCTGATGGTGTTATTCTTGTTACTACAAGCTCTTATGTTTAATAAAGTCACATGGATATTGAATTTGCCAATACTGAATCATTTCCCCTAGGAAAAATTCAAGGTTAGTTTCCTGTGAGATTCTGGCATTATTTTTGTCAATGGATCAATACATGAGTTTGTTGTATGTGTGTATATGTTCAAAGATACCTCATTTAATACATACTTTCATAAAGGAGAGCTCAGACAAATAAAAAACCGATAAAGAAAAAAAAATACTGCCGGGCGCGGTGGCTCAAGCCTGTAATCCCAGCACTTTGGGAGGCCGAGGCGGGTGGATCACGAGGTCGAGAGATCGAGACCATCCTGGTCAACATGGTGAAACCCTGTCTCTACTAAAAAGTGCAAAAAATTAGCTGGGCATGGTGGCTCGTGCCTGTAATCCCAGCTACTCAGGAGGCTGAGGCAGGAGAATTGCCTGAGCCCAGGAGGCGGAGGTTGCGGTGAGCCGAGATCGCGCCATTGCACTCCAGCCTGGGTAACAAGAGCGAAACTCCGTCTCAAAAAAAAAAGAAAAGAAAAGAAAAAGAAAAAAAAATACTGGCCGGGCGCGGTGGCACAAGCCTGTAATCCCAGCACTTTGGGAGGCCGAAGCGGGTGGATCACGAAGTCAAGAGATTGAGACCATCCTGGTCAACATGGTGAAACCCCGTCTCTACTAAAATACAAAAAAATCAGCGGGGCATGGTGGCACGTGCCTGTAATCCCAGCTACTCAGGAGGCTGAGGCAGGAAAATTGCCTGAACCCAGAAGGCGGAGGTTGTGGTGAGCCGAGATCGCGCCATTGCACTCCAGCCTGGGTAACAAGAGCGAAACTCCGTGTCAAAAAAAAAAAAAAAGAAAAGAAATACATATTATTGATTAGTTAATTCCGAACTCAGAAGATCCAACACATGTATTATCACCATAATATCAACTTTCTTGCACTTAGGAACACTAGACAGTATTACAGCATTTTACTTCAGTGTCGCTTTATTCTTTTTTTTTTTTTTTTTTTTTTTTGAGACGGAGTTTCGCTCTTGTTACCCAGGCTGGAGTGCAATGGCGCGATCTCGGCTCACTACAACCTCCACCTCTCGGGTCAGGCAATTCTCCTGCCTCAGCCTCCTGAGTAGCTGGGATTACAGGCACGTGCCACCATGCCCAGCTGATTTTTTGTATTTTTAGTAGAGACGGGGTTTCACCATGTTGACCAGGATGGTCTCGATCTCTTGAGCTCGTGATCCACTCGCCTCGGCCTCCCAAAGTGCTGGGATTACAGGCTTGAGCCACTGTGCCCGGCTTAAGATTTAGCTTTTTTTTTTTTTTTTTTTTTTTTTTTAAGATGGGGTTTCCCCATATTGGTCAGGCTGGTCTCAAACTCCGGACCTCAGGATATCCACCCACCTCGGCCTCCCAAAGTGCTGGGATTACAGGTGTGAGCTACCGCGCCCGGCTCAGTGTCACTTTAAACAACAAAGTTATCAATAAAAAGCACAAAAGTGTGAAAATGTGTCACTACATAGGCTGTGAAAAGGACACTTATTTACACTGTAAGAACCAAAATAGGAAGTGAGGTTGTGGCCTTTTTCAGCCCCAACTGGAAACATGCACCCAAGGTAACTCAAATACTTTACCACTCTACACATATCTGAAAATGACTAAGGAGATGCCTCAACTATTTATTTTACAAATAAATTTTAGCAATTTTGGAAATATGGGCTCTGAGAATAAGGATCTACTGTAATTGCTTCTTTAGAATGTCTTTCTTGATTAGGGCTAATTGACAGAAGAACCAGCTCTTGTCAAGACATTTCTTCCTCATCCTTGAGGTCTTCATTTAAATGTCACTTTCTTTTTTTTTTTTTGAGACGGAGTTTCGCTCTTGTTACCCAGGCTGGAGTGCAATGGCGCGATCTCGGCTCACCGCAACCTCCGCCTCCCGGGTTCAGGCAATTCTCCTGCCTCAGCCTCCTGAGTAGCTGGGATTACAGGCACGCGCCACCATGCCCAGCTACTTTTTTGTATTTTTAGTAGAGATGGGGTTTCACCATGTTGACCAGGATGGTCTCGATCTCTTGACCTTATGATCCACCCGCCTCGGCCTCCCAAAGTGCTGGGATTACAGGCTTGAGCCACCGCGCCCGGCCTTAAATGTCACTTTCATGCCGGTCTCACTTGAGGCCAAGGGAGGTGGATCACTTAAGCCAAGAGTTCGACACTGGCCTGGCCAACATGTTGAAACCCTCTCTATTAAAAACACAAAAATTAGCTGGGCTTGTTGGAGCATGCCTGTAATCCCAGCTACCCTGGAGGCTGAGGCATGAGAATGGTTTGAACCCAGGAGGCAGAGGTTGCAGTGAGTTGATACATGCCACTATACTCCAGCCTGTACTACACGGTGACTCCATCTCAAGGGAAAAAAAAAAAAGCCGGGCCCGGTGGCTCTCGACTGTGATCCCAGCACTTTGGGAGGCCAAGGAGGGTGGATCATGAGGTCAGGAGTTCAAGACCAGCCTGGCCAAGATGGTGAAATCCTGTCTCTAGTAAAAATACAAAAATTAGCTGGGTGTGGTGGTGCACGCCTATAATCCCAGCTACTCAGGAGGCTGAGGCAGGAGAATTGCTTGGACCTGGGAGGCAGAGGTTGCAGTGAGCTAAGATTGCACCACTGCACTCCAGCCTGGGTGACAAAGCGAGACTCCGTCTCAAAAATAAAAAGGAAAAAAATGTCAATTTCTCAGAGTCTGGCATTATACAGACTAAAATTAACTTAATCAAACATCAATATGTTTGGCTCCTATATGTCCTGTAGAATTAAACAGATATATATCTTTTTGCTTTTTTTCTTGAGAACTTAGGACATTGAAGATTCTTTGTGTGAATGATGGGAGAGTGTGGGCTAACTAATAATTGAACGTGCAATAGCTTCTCTAACTTCCAGACAACTCCACCTGATTATGATTTACTCCTTACTTTCCTTTGTCCCTTATCCGAGCAATCAGAACCCTGTACTCACTAAGGCAGGTGGATTAATGCTGTCATCAGTCAGGTCTTCCATGAATCTCTCCAAGTTTTTGCCACTTGATTTCCATTTTTCTTTCACACTGGCCTTGTCATGGCAGTAGCCACCAATCATAAACTGCTCCAGGACTAATAGAGAAATAATTTCATCCTTACTGTGCTTTTCTGGTTGCAGCCATGAATGAAAGATCTTATAAAGTCTTTGCAATTCCTGCCTTGCATATGAATTATTGCTGTCTTGCAATGAATTGAGCACAGTTCTTGAGAACTCAGAAATCCCTTCTTCTGTCTGAACAGCAGGTCCTTGTCTTTGTTGAAACTCTGAATTTCCTGATCTAAGATCATTCTCAGATGGTTTACACTGAAATAAGCTTCTTTGATCTAAAGCCATTTTCACCAATTCTCAGAGAGACTTTATTTTGATGATTCAGTCTCTTCTCTTGTGTCTCTGGGAATTGGTTTCAACAACTGGTGGATTCTTTAAAATGGCAAGCTAGAAATAGAAAAGAGATAAGTAATTAATGCACCACTGGCATAATTAAAGACCAATCAACCAAAACGTTACGCCTAGATGATTTTATGGATGAATTCTACCAGACATTAAAAAGAGAAATAATTTGCCCAGTGCCACGGCATGTGCCTGTAGTCTCAGCTACTCGGGGGAGGGTGAGGTGGGAGGATTGCTTGAGCCCAGGAGTTCTGGGCTGTAGTGTGCTATGCCGATCGGGTGTCCGCATTAAGTTCGGCATCAATATGGTGACCTCCTGGGAGCCGGGACCACCAGCTTGCCTAAGGAGGGGTAAACCGGCCCAGGTCAGAAACGGAGCAGGTCAAAACTCCTGTGCTGATGAGTAGTGGATCGCGCCTGTGAATAGCCACTGCACTGCAGCCTGGGCAACATAGCGAGATCACGTCTCTTAAAAAAAAGAAAGAAAGAAAGACTTAAAATTTTACATAAACTCTCCCAGAGCATATGAGGAAACACTATGCACTTTAGTTACTGAAGTCAGCACTTCCTGATACTAAAATCTTGCCAATACATTAAAATAATTCAAAGCAAATTATTTGAAAATCAAATTGACTCATAAGAATACATCACAAATGGTGTTCATTTCCAAAATGCAGGAAGTTTGGGTTAAAATTCAAAAATCAATGGAATTTACTTCATTAACAGGATATAGATACAAGAACATAATATAATCATCTCAATGAATGTGTTTAAAATGTCAGTGTTCATTCCTGAAAAAGGCACTTAATAAACTAGAACTATTAGGAAATATCCTTCGCTGGTCATGATGGTTCACTCCTGTAATCCCAGCACTTTGGGATGCCGAGGTGGGTGGATTACTTGAGGACAGGAGTTTGAGACCAGCCTGGCCAACATGGTGAGCCACTATCTCCACTAAAAATGCAAAACTTACTGGGTGCGGTGGCTCACACCTGTAATCCCAGCACTTTGGGAGCCTGAGGCAGGTGGATCATCTGAGGTCAGGATTTTGAGACCAGCCTGACCAATATGGTAAAACCCCATCTCTACTAAAAATACAAAAATTAGCAGGGCATGGTGGCATATGCCTGTAGTCCCAGCTACTTGGAAGGCTGAGATGGGAGAATTGCTTGAACGTGGGAGGCAGAGATTGTAGTGAGATGAGATCATGCCAGTGCACTCCAGCTGGGTGACATAGTAAGACTCGATCTCAAAAAAAAAAAAAAAAAGACTTAACCAAATGTGCCTGTGGACCTAACTTCTCTGGTGGTGGAGACACGAGAATCGCTTCAACCCGGGAAGTAGAGGTGGCAATGAGCCAGGAGCATGCTGCTGTGCTCCTGCCTGGGTGACAGAGTGAGTCTCTGTCTCAAAAAAAAAAAAAAAAAAAAAAAAAAAAAAAAATCCTTATGTGATAAATATTTTACAAAGTAATTACAACAAAAATTGTTTGTTTGTTTTTTTTTGAGAAGGAGTTTCGCTTTTGTTAACCAGGCTGGAGTGCAATGGCGCGATCTCGGCTCACCGCAACCTCCGCCTCCTGGGTTCAGGCAATTCTCCTGCCTCAGCCTCCTGAGTAGCTGGGATTACAGGCACGTGCCACCACGCCCAGCTAATTTTTAGTAGAGACGGGGTTTCACCATGTTGACCAGGATGGTCTCGCTCTCTTGGCCTCATGATCCACCCGCCTCAGCCTCCCAAAGTGCTGGGATTACAGGCTTGAGCCACCGTGCCGGGCCCTTTTGGGTTTTTTTTGTTTTTTGTTTTTTGTTTTTTGAGACGGAGTTTCACTCTTGTTACCCAGGCTGGAGTGCAATAGTGCGATCTCAGCTCACTGCAACCTCCACCTCCTGGGTTCAAGCAATTCTCCTACCTCAGCCTCCCGAGTAGCTGGGATTACAGGCATGCACCACCATGCCCAGCTAATTTTTTGTATTTTTTTTATTTTTTTTTTTGAGATGGAGTTTCGCTCTTGTTAACCCAGGCTGGAGTGCAATGGCACGATCTCGGCTCACCGCAACCTCCGCCTCCTGGGTTCAGGCAATTCTCCTGCCTCAGCCTCCTGAGTAGCTGGGATTACAGGCACACGCCACCATGCCCAGCTAATTTTTTGTATTTTTAGTAGAGACGGGGTTTCACCATGTTGACCAGGCTGGTCTCGATCTCTTGACCTCGTGATCCACCCTCCTCGGCCTCCCAAAGTGCTGGGATTACAGGCTTGAGCCACCGCGCCCGGCTAATTTTTTGTATTTTTAGTAGAGACAGGGTTTCACCATGTTGACCAGGATGGTCTCGATCTCTTGACCTCATGATCCACCCACCTCAGCCTCCCAAACTGCTGGGATTACAGGCGTGAGCCACCGCGCCCGGCCAAAAATTATTAATAGTTTTCTGCTTAAACTACTACCTCTGTGAAACATTGGATTGCTCCCTAATCAGTGAAATAAGGAAATAAAATATTTCAAATGTATTTATAAAGTCTTGATTTTGTTACAAAAAGTATTCAACAAATTTGGTGGGAATGTAAATCAGCTAACCTCTATGGAAAACAGCATGGAGATTTCCCAGAGAACCAAAAATAGAACTATCATTTGATACTGCAAACCTACTACTGAGTATCTACTCAAAAGAAAAGAAATCATCATATAAAAAAGACACTTGCACTCATATTTTGATTGCAGCACTACTCACAAGAGCAAATTCATAGAAGCAACCTAAGAGTCTCCCAGTGGTTGAATGGATAAAGAAAATGTGAAATACATACTATGGAATACTATGCAGCTGTAAAAGAATGAAATTAGTCCTTTGCAGCAACCATAGATGGAGCTGGAGGCCATTATCCTAAGTAAACTAACTCAGAAACAGAAAAGCAAATATCACATGTTCTCGAGTGTAAGTGGAAGCTAAACAGTAGGTACACATGAACATGGGATGGGAATAACAGACACTGGGAACTCTAATCGGGGGGATGGGAGGGAAATGGGTATTGAGAAATTATCCAGTGAGTACAATGTTTACTATTTCAGTAATGGGTACACTGGAAGCCCAATTTCCACTAATATTCAAAATACTTTTATAGCAAACATGCACATGTACTCCCTGAATCTGAATAAAATAAAATATTCAACAAAGCCGGGCGCGGTGGCTCACGCCTGTAATCCCAGCACTTTGGGAGGCTGAGGCGGGTGGATCACAAGGTCAAGAGATGGAGACCATCCTGGTCAACATGGTGAAACCCCGTCTCTACTAAAAATACAAAAAATTAGCTGGGCGTGGTGGCGCATGCCTGTAATCCCAGCTACTCAGGAGGCTGAGGCAGGAGAATTGCCTAAACCCAGGAGGCGGAGGTTGCGGTGAGCCGAGATCGCGCCATTGCACTCCAGCCTGGGTAACAAGAGCGAAAGTCCGTCTCAAAAAAAAAAAATATATATATATATTCAACAAATATTAGCCTAGGTGAATTTAATGAGGTGCCTATTATAATGCCATTATGCCAAAATGAACTCAATTTCTACATATTGCATTATCACAAGCAGTTGTAGTAATAATAATAATAATAAAACTCTTTTCACTGTGGCTCATGCCTGTAATCTCAACACTTTGGGAGTCTGAGGCAAGGCGAGCAGATCACTTGAAACCATGCATTCAAGACCAGCCTGGCTAACATGAACCTGTCTCTACTAAAAATAGAAAAATTAGCTGGGCGTGGTGGTGCACACCTGTAATCCCAGCTACTCGGGAGGTTGAGCCAGGAGAATGACTTAAACTCGGGAGGCAAAGGTCGAAGTGAGTGGAGATCAGACCACTGTACTTCAGCCTGGGCAACACAGAGAAACTCCATCTCAGTCGTCATCATCATCATCACCATCATCATGATCATCAGAAAATAAAGTATTAGAAACTGACAGTAGAAGGGTGGTTGCCAAGGGCATGCAGTGGGGCATTTGGGAAGATGTTGATCAAATGGTGCAAACTCCTGGACTCAAGTGACTGCTCCCCAGTGAGGCCTTTCAAAGTACTGAGATTACAGGCATGACTATTATGTCTACAGCAAACTTCCAGTTATAAAATAAATATGTGGCCAGGCACAATGACCCATGCCTGTAATCCCGGCACTTTGGGAGGCCGACACAGGTGGATCACTTGAGGTGAAACATGATGAAATCCCATATCTACTAAAAATAAAAAAATTAGCCAGGCGTGGTGTTGCATGCCTGTAGTCCCAGCTACTCGGTAGGCTGAGGCAGGAGAATTGCTTGAACCCAGGAGATGGAGATTGTAGTGAGCCGAGATTGTGCTACTGCACTGTAGCCTGGGTGGCAGAGCAAAACTCCGTCTCAAAATAAACAAATAAATGCAATAAAATGAATAAATATTTCATTATGTCCTTCTCAAGCTAAGAAAAAAGTGAATATGCTCTAGAGATCTGACGTACAGCACGGTTGCTATAGCTAATATATATTGTATGACTGAAATTTGCTAAAAGTAGGTTTTTAGTGTTCTTATGATATAAAAAGCTAAGTGGCTTTCGCCTGTAATCTCAGTGCTTTGGGAGGCTGAGGTTAGCATATCACTTGAGACCAGGAATTCAAGACCAGCCTGGCCAACATGGTGAAACCCCACCTCTACTAAAAATTCAAAAATTAGCCAGGTGTGATGGCTTGCTCTTGTAATCCCAGCTACTCGGGAGGCTAAGACATGAGAATTGCTTGAACCTGGGAGGTGGAGGTTGTAGTGAGCTGAGATCATGCCACTGTACTCCAGCTTAGGTGACAGAACAAGACTCTGCCTCCAAAAGAATATAATAATAATAATAATTATGGGCCGGGCGTGATGGCTCACGCCTGTAATCCAAGCACTTTGGAGGCCGAGGCGGGTGTATCACCTGAGGTCTGGAGTTCAAGACCAGCCTGACCAACATGGTGAAAACCCGTCTTTAAAAAAAAAATTAATTAATTTTTAAAAAAGATAATTATGTGAGGTGATGAATATGTTAACTAGCTTGATCGTGGTAATCATTTTGCAATGTATACATATATATATAGAGAGAGAAATCACGTTGTACACTTTTAACATATACAATCTTTGTCAATTATACCTCAGTAAAGCTAGGGAAAACAAGAAAAAGAGAAAGAAGTGAATGAAATAGAAAAGACAAGCCAGAATCCATACACATGACATCTTTCTCTGGCTGAAAACTTATTAGCCACAGACATCTACAAGGCCACTACCAGCTACACGCACTGTGTTCTGAAAGGATACATTCCTTAGGAAACATTCTTAGTATCTTTACTTTTGAATTTTTTCCCCATTAACAGTTATCATTCCTTAGAACTTCACTGCTTTAACCAAAGCTACAATTTTATGTTTATTTTTACTACTTGTTCTTTCCCATTGATATTTCAAATTCAGAAGTAAATTGAGTTTGCATTGCTTGAAATTGTTTTCTAATCCCAAATCACATTACCTGGGCAACTACACAGACACCATTTGGAGTGCTGAATGGATCAAGAATTTAATCCCTTTTCTGTTAATATATTATTGCCATTTTTGTTTTTTTCTTCAATTTTATATATGATTAACATTTCAAAGATTTGTGCAATTTTGAAAACAGCAGATTTCAAGCCATAAAATCAGAAAATGTGACTGTTTGGTAGGAGTAATACACGGGCACACAAAAACCTAATTGATTTCTATTTCTATTAGCTATATCCTGCTTTGTGTTACTCTCATCTGGTCTCATTAGATCAGATCTGCCACCCTGATCACATCAGTTAATGAGGCAGAGATGATCTTGTTTTAAAACCTCCTAGGAGAAAACAGAATACATTTTTGCCTTTCCCTAATCCATTTATCATAATGCTTCCAGTCAACGTTTATAAAATGCTAATCTGCTCACGTCACACCCGACTTTACTCTCTGGATGGCTCCCTTTGCCCTCAGGGAAAACCACTGAGTCCTTCCTTGTACTATAGGTTTTCCTGGGCCAGCTCTACATTTCTCCAGCCCCTTTTGGGTGTTGTGGCTGGTTCTCTAAATCCAGGGACACTGGTCTCTCTCTGTTGTTGTTGTTTTCCTGTGAAACCCATGGCTTCCCCTTCATTTCACCTCCCTCCAAGTTCTTTTTTGGATTACCCATCCTTTCTCGCCTATGGCACACAGACCACATGTTCACACTTGGAGACACGTACTCCGTCCCGCACAGACGAGGCTGCAAAGTACTATGGCTGATTTCCCAGAACCTGGGCATACAAAACAAGCCTACCAAAGTTCTAATCTGGAGTCTGGCATTTACAAAGTATGTGACCCAGGCATGCTACCATTAGGTCTGGGTCTGTGTCCTGGGGTTTATGATCTCTAATGACACCCAGTTAAATATTACATGTAATGCAACAAAAAGGAATTACTAAGCTGGGTGCAGTGGCTCACATCTGTAATCCAAGCACTTTTGGAGGCCAAAAGTGGACAAATCACTGAAGGCCAGGGGTTTGAGACCACCCTGGGCAACATGGCAAAACCCTGTCTCTACAAAAAATAGAAAAATTAGCCTGGTGTGTTGGTGCGTGCCTGTGGTCCCAGCTACTCAGGAAGCTAAGGTAGAAGGATCACTTGAGCCTGGGGAGGCTGAGGCTGCAGTGAGCTGTGATCTGGGCTACTAAACTTTAGCCTCAGTAACAGAGACCCTGTCTCAAAAAAAAAAAAGAAAAAAAAGAATTACTAGAACATAAAGCCATACAACAGACTTTCCAAAGAGAAATCTTCAGTCACACCAGGCCTTTATACACAGTTCACAACATGAAGCCCTTCAGGGTCAGAGCTGTTGTAACAAAAGACCATTCCCTATACTCCTAGGAGACCCCCGTATCTCTATACTTAGGACTTTTCCTGAAATAGCTATGCCTACATAGACACACTCAAAGAAACAAAACTGGGAATTTTCCTCCCATTATGGAAGCTTACCTTCTTCTTCATTGACTGGGTGATCCGAGGCTGAACACTGAGCTAATGGGTAACTGGCCTTCCACACTGAGTTTATCTGATGTACCTTCCTAAGGCTGCTCCCTTTTATAGAGCCTGGGATCAGTGATTGATTTAAAGATGTGATTGGATAAGACTTGCCTTTGATTGAATTACTGATGGAATCTTCATCCAGCCACAGCTGCAGGTTATATACCATCACTGGTCCTGGATCAATAGATCATAAACAAATACATTAATATCTCTGCAGGCTAGGCGAGGTGGTTCACGCCTGTAATCCCAGCACTTCGGGAGGCCGAGCTAGGCAGATCACTTTAGATCAGGAGTTCGAGACCAGCCTGGCTAATGTGGTAAAACTCTGTCTCTACTAGAAGTACAAAAATTAGCTGGGTGTCGTGGTGGGTGCCTGTAATCCCAGATACTTGGAAGGCTGAGGCAGAAGAATTCCATTGCACCCAGGAGGTGGAGATTGCAGTGAGCCGAGATAGCACCACTGCACTCCAGACTGGGAGACAGAGCAAGACTTTGTTTAAAAAACAAAAAATTGGCCGGGGAATGTGGCTCACACCTGTAATCCTAGCACTTTGGGAGGCTGAGGGAGGTGGATCATGAGGTCAAGAAATGGAGACCATCCTGGCCAACATGGTGAAACCCCGTCTCTACTGAAAAATACAAAAATTAGCTGGGCATGGTGGCACGTGCCTGTAGTCCCAGCTACTCAAGAGGCTGAGGCAGGAGAATTGCTTGAACCCGGGAGGCAGAGGTTGCAGTGAGCTGAGATCACACCACTGCACTCCAGCCTGGCACCTGGTAACACAGCAAGACTCTGTCTCAAAAAAAAAATCTGCATCCCTAGCCTGAGCAACAAAGCAAGACTCTGTCTCTACAAAAAATAACATAAAAAATGTTAGCCAAGGATGGTGCCATGTACCTGTAGCTTGTTTGAGCCAAGGAGTTCATGGCTGCACTGGGTTATGACTACCCCAATTAACTCCAGTCTGGGACACAGAAGGAAATCCAGTCTCTAAAAAGCACGCAGAAAAAATCTGCAGTAAAATGTAACAACATTCACATTAAATGAAAATATAAAGACAAATGTTAGCCTCACAAATTCTGGTCAAGTTTTATTATAAATTACTCATACAAACATGACAAACTTTTGCTCACACTTTTAAGTTTTCAGAGATTTATTAATTACAAAGGTGGCAGAGGACAAGGCTAATGCTCTCTTTCTGCACCAGTTCCAGGCTGGTGAAACAGAGGGGGCTCTAGGACCCCAGAGAAGGCGTTCCTAACCCATCAAAGAGGTGACAGGGGCTGAGACTAGGATTATATCAGAAGAAAGGGAGAAATTGGTGCATGTTTTATATTGAGAAAGCGTGTGATGTTTGATAGACTTAATGTGAGACTTGAGGGAGAGGGAGGAGTTAAAATGGCCAGAAGCTCCTGGTCGCCCAGTGTGGTGGAAGCTGTGCTGTCTTCCCTGCACTCTCCCTCCCCACTTTCCATCCTTATATAGGCTGAGTGAGACTTTGGTGGAGTTGAGAATGTATCAGAAAGGTGAGAGCCAATTACAGCCATGTGTTTCATCTGCTTCATCAGGTATGTGGCCTCTTGGGGTTTGGATTTTCCCCCTATTACTGTAGGGTACAGAGTTTAAATTTCCTGGTCCTGCATTGATGAAATGTCTGCCTGACTTCCCCACAATGGGAATTATGTTCTGAATCCTCATACTGTAGGACTATCATTTCTCCAAGGAGTTTCATCCATGTGTACTCCATATAGAAAAGTATCCCTGCTCCCATCAAGAGCTCATTTTCCGGCCGGGTAGGGTGGCTCACGCCTGTAATCCAAGCACTTTGGAGGCCAAGGCGGGCGGATCACCTGAGGTCAGGAGTTCAAGATCAGCCTGACCAACATGGTGCAACCCTATCTTTATTTTAAAGAAGAAGAAGAAGAGCTAATTTTCCACGGGTGCTTTAGGTCCTGTCACCAACTGTGTCATTAAACCAACTGTGACAGGACCTACAGCACCCGTGGAAAATTGGCTCTTGATGGGAGCAGGGATAATTCTCTGCTACAACAATGAAAAATGTAGCCGGGCGCGGTGTCGTGTGCCTGTAGTCCCAGCCACTCAGGAGGCTGAGGTGGAAGGATCGCTTGAGCCCAAAAGTTCTGAGATGTAGTCTGCTATGCCAATCGGGTGTCTGCACTAAATTCAACATCAATATGGTGACCTACCAGTTGTGGGGGACCACCAGGTTGCCTAAAGAGGGGTGAACCGGCCCAGGTCAGAAACAGAGCAGGTCAAAACTCCCATGCTGATCAGTAGTGGGATTGTACCTGTGAATAGCCACTGCACTCCAGCCTGGGCAACATAGCAAGACCCCGTCTCTAAAAAAGAAAAAAGAATAGAAAAAAGAAAAATGTAGAGATTGTGAGTACCACTGGAGGTCAGTTATCAATTTGTAGTGGGATGAAAGAATTTCCTGTCTGCTTCTGCAGTCTCGAGGAGTTCCTTCAGCTCCATAAGGAGCTATAAGAAAAATATTTGGAGGCAAGCTGGCAATTTTTGTTTGGAGGAGGTTATTGAATTTCTGAGTGGAGGTATATAGCCAGCTGTTGGACATGCTGGTGTGTAACTGGGAGCAGTTAGACCTGGAATATGATGATATCAGTAAGAGGAGTAATAGCATCAGGGATCATAATAACTAACCTTTAAGCAGTGAGGGCATATTTGACTCTGTTCTCAATATTTTCTGCACATTAGCCCATTTCGATTACAACAGAGCTGTAAAGTAGATCCTAAACAACTGCATTTTAACATCAAAGTAACAGAGGCACAGACAAGTTCAGTACCTTGGCCAGTGCTACACAGCCTGTAAGTTGCAGGGGCAGGATTTGATACCTGTCTCGAGTGGGACTCCAAATGCTAAATTAAGGAAGCAAAGACCCTGGCCATTGTGTAAAACCAGCAGCCTTCTAGGGAATGGGCTAATGGAGGAGGAAGGGCATGAGCAGGAGGATTTACCCTCTCGGAACACAGATGGTAGAGGAAATGACTTAGTGGCACCCCAACTTAGGCATAGAATAAACAGGCACAAACATAATAAAAATAAATGTGAAAGCCACACAATAATTTGATCAAATGAGTATTACAAAGATGATACATAATATATATAGACTTGTCAAAATTGTGTGCAATTTTATCAAATGCTTTTCTGACCAATTGGGAAGGCGAGTAGTACTGTCTTTGGTAAAAATAGATGACATGTTTACATCCAGCATCAGCTCAACTTGTGTCTAGTGAGTATCCCTGCTCCAGTGTGAGTGAGGAAAATAACCCGTTTCCAAGAATACAAAGCCAATCTGTCTCAGTATGTAGAAAACAATGATTTTGATTAGAATACAAAAACAAAAAACTGGTAGGAAAATAAACAAAACTGTTACTTTCTTTTTACTTTTTTTCCAGACAGAGTCTTGCTGTGTTGCTCAGGCTGGAGTGCACTGGCACAATCTCAGCTTACTGCAACCTTTGCCCACCAGGTTTGTTTTTTTTTTTAACTTAAAAAAAAAAAAAACTCTTATTGTTTATGTTTCTGCCCACCAAGTTTAAGCAATTCTCCTGCCTCAGCCTTCAAAGTAGCTGTGATTACAGGCACTCACCACACTCGGCTAATTTTTGCATTTTAGGAGAAACAGGTTTTACCATGTTGGCCAGAATGGCCTCCAACTCCTGACCTCAGGTGATCCGCCCACCTCAGCCTCCCAAAGTGTTGGGATTACAGGCATGAGCACCTGGTGACTTTTTTCTTTTTTTTTTTTTTTTTGAAAAGAAATAGTCCATTTATGTATTTTTGATAGTTGCACCTACTTTAATAACAACTTCAAAAAAGGAACAGCATCCATCTGGTTCTAAATGTCTTTTTTTTTTTTTTTTTTTTTTTTTTTTTTTTGAGACGGAGTTTCGCTCTTGTTGCCGAGGCTGGAGTGCAATGGCGCGATCTCGGCTCACCGCAACCTCCGCCTCCTGGGTTCAGGCAATTCTCCTGCCTCAGCCTCCTGAGTAGCTGGGATTACAGGCAGGTGCCACCACGCCCAGCTAATTTTTAGTATTTTTAGTAGAGACGGGGTTTGACCATGTTGACCAGGATGGTCTCGATCTCTTGACCTCGTGATCCGTCCGCCTCGGCCTCCCAAAGTGCTGGGATTACAGGCTTGAGCCACCGCGCCCGGCATTATTTATTTATTTATTTTATTTTATTTTATTTTATTTTATTTTTTGAGACGGAGTTTCGCTCTTGTTACCCAGGCTGCAGTGCAATGGCGCGATCTCGGCTCACCGCAACCTCCGCCTCCTGGGTTCAGGCAATTCTCCTGCCTCAGCCTCCTGAGTAGCTGGGATTACAGGCACGAGCCACCACGCCCAGCTAATTTTTGTATTTTTACAAAGGACGGAGTTTCACCATGTTGACCAGGATGGTCTCGATCTCTTAACCTCGTGATCCACCCGCCTCGGCCTCCCAAAGTGCTGGGATTACAGGTGTGAGCCACCGTGCCCGGCCCCTTTTTGGCGTTTTTGACAGCTTGGATTCACAGAGCCTTGAAGCTTTCCACGTGGCACAGAGTACCTGTGTTCTCCTCTGCACCACCTATCGCGTGTTCTAAGAAAGTGTAGCACGTTGGTGGACCAGGGATTCCATCTGTTTATGAAGGAAAGGCGACTTTGCCTGCCCCACTGAATTCAAATCCCAAAACCTTCTCACTTGTTGAGCGATTTGGGAAACTGGAATTCTCCGCAGGAGATGGCAGGTGCGGCGTTGAGCACCATCTGGGCCACCAATATTGGGACTTATTACCTAGTAATAAAACAGCATTAGTTGAAATACAGAATTGATTTTTTTTTTTTTTTTTTTTGCCTCAGGCGTTAAATAACCTGTAGGATTCAAAGTGAATCAACAACAACTCCGGGTGTGGTGGCTCACGCCTGTAATCCCAGCACTTTGGGAGAGTGAGGCGGGCGGATCACTTGAGCTGAGGGGT